GCATCACGAATATTCTTTGCAATCTGCTATCTTTGCTTTAAAAATCCACAGGAATTTTGCATTCTACTCTACCATCTACGTGTGTTTATTTTCCAATACATAAAAATAAGCCTTGAAATAGCTCACAAGTGAGTAAAATTAACACCCCGGGGACATGCACCATGTTTAGTAGGTGGCTCCACAGACACCCCAGCATGCTGTGGCAGGGTGAGAAGCCTAGGTCTGGAGTGTGTGTCTCTGAACTGAAGAGCAAGCGGGCCTGGCCCCACCACGTATGAGGCCCAGCAGGGCTTGGGGATCAGCGGGTGCTGGGAGAGGTGTGAGCTGCACGACACAGCCCCAGTCCCTGTGCGCCCAAGGCATGGTGTCACTCTGAATTTCCAGATATCTTGGGCAGCAGAGCACTGTGCCTGCATTAAATATTTGCTGAGCCAGGCACAGCGCTAGACCCTGGGAGACAACCTTGAACTGGATGAACAGTCCCTGAGCTCATGGCACCAAGTGTCCAGTGGGGCCATGGCCGAGGAAGCAGGCAATCCTGATCCTTGGGCGCTGTGAGAGCAGAGGTCAGGTTTGGTGGGGGAGATGTGGCCGCCGGGGGACACCTACTCCAGGCTTGACGTCAGGGAGGCATGAAACCTGACTGCCTGAGGAGTGCGACGGTCAGACCAACACCTGAAGGGTGAGGAGTCGTGGCCGGCAGTGTAGAGAGGAGAGAGCTTGGGGGGCAGGGGACTCAGGGGGGAGAGTCCAGGACCAGCCAGTGCTCTGGAAATCACTGATTCTATGAGAAACTTGAAGTCACTGAACTGACGGCCTCCAAAGAGTGCCATGGTCTGTGCCTTACAAAGACCCCCCCAAATGCAGGAGAGAGAAGGAGTGGGAAAGGGGGGCAGGGGAAAAAAGTGGAGGCAGGGACAACAGGGGGCGGCAGCTGGTGGGCAGCAGAGATGGGTAGAAAGTACACCTGTTGGGACTGGAAAACTGATCGATGTGGAGGGAGGTGCAGGGGAGCAAGCCGTCCAGGGTCTGCTGGATGGCAGTGGGCAGCCCCAGTGGCCGAGCAGGGCCCACCTGCACAGGACAAGAGGCAGGTTTCGGGTGAAGATGTTGGGTTGGGCTTGATCAGTCTGCAGTGCCCGCGGGGTAAACTCAGAGATGCTCAGTTGGCCTGGGTCTCCCGCAGATCGCCCAGGCAGGAGGGGCAGGCTGGGGCGGAGGGCATGCCTGGGTGGGCTGTGTGGACTCAGGCTTTTGTATGGCCTGGGGCTCCACAGGCTAAAAAGTTTGAGGCCCACTGAGGGGCTCCCCCACACACAGGTGTCTCTGCAGCTGGCCTCCGGAGCCTTCCTGCTCAACCAAGCCTTCTGTGAGGCCATCCACATCCCCATGGAGAAGCTCAAGTGGACCTCGCCCTTCACCTGCCACCGAGTGCCCCTCACTGCCCGCCAGCCTGAGTCTAAGACCCCAAGTCCCCAGCTGTGCACCAGCCTCTCGGCTCGGCACCCCTCCTGTGACAGCTTCTCCCCGGAGCCTCTGGCAGAGGGCAAGCCGGGCTGGGAACCCAGGGCTGTCATAGAACACACAGGGAAGCTGTGGGCCACGGTGGTGGCGCTGGCATGGCTGGAGCACAGCTCGGCCTCCTACTTTGTTGAGTGGGAGCTGGTGGCCGCCAAAGCCAACTCGTGGCTGGAGCAGCAGGAGGTGCCCGAGGGCCGCACGCGGGGTACACTCAAGGCGGCTGCCCGGCAGCTGTTCGTGCTCCTGCGGCACTGGGACGAGAACCTGGAGTTCAATATGCTCTGCTATAACCCGAATTATGTGTAGTGGCAGGGAGGGAGGAGAGGGAGGGGACATTGCAGCCTGGCGCGGGGAGCTTTGGAAGCTGTAGCCAATATACTGGTTGCTAGAAAGAGCCCTGGACCGGCAGTCAGGAGGCCTGAGTTCAATCCCAACTTTGCTACCACCTAGCTGTGCAGTTTTAGGCCAGCCCTTACCCCCCGTCTGGCCCTCAGTCTCCCCACCTGTAAAATTAGTGCGTGAGGTGGTGGAGTTGGACTAGATCTCTAGAAGCTCCAAAGGTTCCTCTCAGCAGGATGTCCAGGCGGCCGAGGGGCGGGGAGAGAGAACATACAGTTTGGACCCAGTTCTCTCTGGAGGAGGGTCCCGTGGGTAAAGCCCCCCTCAAATAAAAGGGTGGATGAGCAAACCCCAAGACTGCTAGTAACCAGACCTGCGAGCTTGCGTCTGGGCGCAGGAGGCCACCTCCACCTGCTGCCTTGTCTCCACCCTGATGGTCCGGCCCCCCGAAACCCCACTTACAAACCAACTGGAGAGCCACCCTTCCCAACATGTTACAAAGAGTCACTCAAGGGCCTTTGGAAGCCCTTAGTATATTTTAGTTTGCTGACTCTGTTTAAGAAGAGGAGGCGGGGAGGACCGGGGGGTGGGGGGGACACCCTGCAAGCTGAGATGTTAAAACTAAGCTTCAGTCTGTGCAAAAATAGTCCAAAAAGAAGAGACATGGTCGCAAAGCCGCTGGAGAAACCAGGCAACACCTGAAATAATTTGCCCACTTTCAGGAATTGTGCAAGGCGAACGCTGCTTACTCTGAGGGGCTCAAGCGACCCCTGCCTCAGCTGCATTCTGGGGTCCCGGGGGGCCTCTTTGCAACAGAACCAGCGCCTGGCTGCAGCGCATCTGGGGGCAGCCGCTTCAGCTGGGAGGGCAATTTATTCAGAGATGAAGGATCCTTGAATTGTACAGCAGAGAGCCGCTGGGGGCTTCCCTCTCTCAAGCCCTCCTGTAACACCCCCTGGTGACAGGCGCAGCCTCAGCTTCCCTGGGGGCTGGCATCCAGCCGTCTCTGCCCTGAAGACTCCTCTGGAAATCCAGCGGCTTGGGACCTCAGGCTGAACCCGCACACCCCCCTCTCCAAGGCCTTAACGTCTCTTCACCAAGTGGTCCCTTGGGCCCCAGGGCCCTGGCACAAAGCCCCCACAGACGTCGCCCCCCTGCAGGGAGATCTGGAGGTCCCCGCGGTGCAAACTGACCTGTGGAAGGGCTGTGGGCTCTGGCACGCGTCCCAGCCTCACGAAGACTCAAGAAATGCCCAGTCTTCAGCCAGCAGGGACTGAGGGGGAGAGCGGCTCCAGCAGGACGCCCTCCACGCAGAGAAGAGGCAGGCCCGACAGCATGTGATGCCCTGCCCCCCGCACAGCCTGCACCCTGGATGCGGAGCCCTGCCCTGCCCTCCTGCTACCCCGCAATATCTCCCAGGAGGGGCTCTCTCCACACCGGTCCTGCTCTGAGTCTCCGGGAACCCGGTGATCCATCCCCAAGGGACGGGAAGGGGCCGGAGACTTCATATAAAGTCCTGTCTGCTGCTTGGCTGACTGTTCTGCTTTAGAATCACCCTCTGGGGAGGAACCCAGCGGGGCAGTCACCAGCACCCTGGCCACCACCACCCCAGGTGGGGCAGGATGACAGTCTGGGCTGTTGGCATAAAATCAGCGTCACTGGGAGGGATAAGGGTTGTAGGCTGTCTTGCTCAAGGCCTCAAGCAGGTGTGAGGACAGCCTTGGCATCTCCCGACACACCTTCCCGCGCAAAAGTAACACTTCTGCAGCTGTGTATCCAGTAGCCCCAGTGTCAGGGTAGGGAGAGGGGCGGGTGTGACATCCCCTCCTTGGCCAACCATTAATGAAAGTAGCTGTTGGGCCGAGAGTGGGAACGCCAGGCACTGGTTTGGGCAAGCGGCTTCCCCTTGCTGGGTGCTGGGTGCACTGGAGCTGGGAGACTTCTAGGCTCAGATATTCCCAGATTCTCTGCCTCTGAGATGTTAACCTCTTAGTGACCATGGACTCGCACTCACTGTCTGTGTGACCTTGAACCAACTGCTTGTGCTTTCTGGGCCTCTCTCCTCCTCTTACATGATGTGGTTGGACTGGGCCATCCAGCCTCTCAAGTCACCCGATTCTAGGCCTCCACCCTCACTGTGGGCAACGGGCAGGGTCAAGGTGGCCCAGTGTGGAACTGGAAGGAGTAACGGAGAACCCAGTGAGGTGGTGGGTGAACAAACCCCCTTCTCCAGGGAATCCCCCCGGATCCTGCTCCAGCGCAGCTGCTGGAAATCGGGGCAGTTCTGATTGCCCAAGCAAATCGCTGACCTCTGCACCCCCAGCTCCCCTGCCTAGCACCCAAAGGGGGCAGAGGAACAAAAATCCTCATTGATATCAAATAGCCCAAGGGCCCTGGGGGACATCTGGATAAGACACATTTTTGAAAGACCTTCGGAGGTATCGAGATGACACGTAGTCTCCGGAAACGGCCTCCAGGATTGCCAAGCCCAGAGCAGAAGGGACTAGCTCTAAGGAGAAGATAAGAACCTTAGGTAATTATCACACGCATTTGAAGCTAAAGTGGTTCCAGAAAGTCTCAAGAAGGGAAGCATTGCTCCTGCAATTGGGATTCACTTGGAATTATCTGGGGGGTTTTTTGTTTGTTTGTTTTGTTTTGTTTTGCTAAACTAGCCTTTGCTCTCTAGGTCATGCAAAAAAAAACATTTATGCCCTGCCTGGCTGAAGAATCAGGAGAGTACAGGTGCCTAATGGCACTGCCAGCAAAGGCTGACCCCCAGTGGGAGGAGCACTGGGGAGAGCCGGGGAATTTCAGTGCAGGTGGACACTCCACCAGTGTGCTGTGTGACCTCTGGCAAGTTGCTTGCTTTCTCTGGGCCCTGTTTCATCTTCTGTAGCATGAGGTTACACCCAATCGGCATTTCCAACAAGATTCCTCGGTTGATGTGTGAATTAGCAATTCATGAGAAACTGTCCAGCAGGCAAATATGTTGGGAAACACAAGGAAAACAGATTTCTTTAGGTCAAGATGGACTCAGAGGCATGAATATGTAAATATGTATTGTCAGCCTCCAATAAGTTGATTCAGAAGGTTGCTTCTCCCCGCCCCCCCGCCCCCACCAGTCTTTCAGTTGGGAAAACACTGGTCTAGATTTCCCTTAGGGATCTTCAGGCGCTGATGCTCAAAAAGCCTTCTTTATGGAGAGCCTCCTGGATGCCGGGCACAGGGGGGCAGCATGGTGTCCAGGCTGGTGTTCCTGTCCTTTTGGAGCTCAGTGAGCAGCACCTGAAGAATGTCTGCTCCATGAACCGTTCCCCCCACTCCTGGGCAGAGGGGCGGGTATGCCTTGACCTGCCACATCCCCGACCCAGGGTCCTGCCGTGTGCAGGTGTGGCCTCAGCCTGTGCTGTCTGGCCGTGGTTTGCACTAGAGGCCAGCCCCTGAGCTGTCTGACACTGGGGGCCTGCTAGAGCTGCCCCCAGCAGCACGAGGACGGGGACAGGGACGGTGAGGCCAAAATGGAGGCAGCGTGGGAGCCTGGCTGGAGGGCCTGTGGTGGGGAGTCCCTGCCCCAAAGTGTCCCAAGGGCCCAGCCCCCTGGCCACACACAGGGCAGAGTCCTCCCTCCAGGCCCCCTCGGCTGAGATCAACTCCAGATCCGGGAAAAACTGGGCCCCGCACGTAGGCTGACTTGCCCTGGATTTGAAAATAAGCTTCAGCTTCCAGCTAGCCATCCTTCCCCGGCCTGTGGACAGAGGACATCCACCGTCCTCTGGTGCTGTGATGGATGAATGGGGTACCTGCTTGGGGGTGGGGGAGTGGTGGCCAGGTGGGGGGTTCATCTGCTCTCTAGGAGGGGGACCTTCTGGCCAGAGACCCCCAGTGAAAGGAAGTGAGGAAAGAGGTCTCCCCTGATCTGTGTGCAGCCAGGCCTGGCGACCGGCCTCCCCACTCACCTGCCCCACTAGAACCCGGTGACCCAAGCACCTGCTGTCGCTGGATCCAAATGCTGCTTTTCATTACTTGCGGATTGCAGCCTCTCCGAGTGGTCCCCAGACACGAATGCATTCTGCACCCTAGTGCCCTGGGAAAGGAGAGAGAAGAGCATTGCTACACCAGCGACGGCTTGTGTGTTCACTACCATTGGCATTTGAGAGATTTTTTTTTCCATCAATCTAGCAAGGACTAGGGAAATCAAGCCCCCCCGCCCCCCATGGGCGCATTCCTCAGCTGGAGCATGCTCCACAGCGCCAGAACAAAAATAACCAGGGCAGGGGCGTGTGTGGCATTTTGCAGCTGGATAATCTGATCTGCAGAGAAGCATCCTAAGGTCAGGAGCTTGGCAGCAGCTCCCAGCCAGGCTCCCAACCCCCTTCAATGGAGCTGCCTGACCTGCGCCTTCACCCAGGGCCCTCCCCCTGGCCTGTTGGCCTTGACCTCTGAACGGCACCACCTGACAAAGTGGGGTTCCTTCTGTTCATGCTGCAAACCTCCTCCGCTCAGCTCGCTCAGCTCAGCTCGGCTCGGAGCCAGCTGTCTTGAGCTTACAGCCGCTTCCCAAGGCAAAGCGCCTCGCCTCAATGTGGTCGAATGTGGCGACACTCGTGGTGTAGTTTCACTATTTGCCCAGGTGACTTTGGCTCAAGTGGCATGGCCGGTGCTTGTCCCCCTTGGAGCCTTAAGTGCCTACAACATGCCGCCTATCCCCTTGCCTGCTCACCTGTGATGTCCCCACAGTGCCTGTGACACTTCTTGTTCTTAGAACACCCGTCGCCTTTTTCCAGCAGCCACTCGTGCAGAACACTGTGGAAGTCCTGGATGCCAGTCGTCTTCTATCCCTAATAATTAGCAAACCACGCCGTGGGGCTGTATGACCATGTCTGTTTTCAAAGGAATGGCTTCTTTGTAAATGGTGGCTACTGCTCTCTTAGAGGCGTTTAGCTCATAAGAACGAATGAACCTGATAATACCACAAAATTATACTTGCGTCTGCTCTTTTGTTCTCAAAACCAATACTTGGCTCTCAAGCTAGTGGTTCAGTGATCTGTTTGCCTTGCTGTGTGGTCACATCTGTCTTGGTTCGGGCTCACCCCTCAGGTGACCAATCGTCCCTGTTTGCCAGGGACTGCGGTGCGGGGCAGTCTCGGGACGTGGGACCTTGACTCTTAAAATTGGAACACTCTCAGGAAAATCGGAGCAAGTTGGTCGTGAAAGATCCCCCCCCCTCTCCCAGAAGCAGAGCTTGAGATAAGGATTCAGTGCAAAGAGTGTATTTGAGTGATTCCAGGAAACATCCTTAGGTAAGTGAGGAAGTAAAATAGCAACGCAGAGGACACCATAGTGGGAATGTTATAAGCAGGTTACTGCTAGGAGTGTGGACTTTCATCCCACTGGAAACCAGAGGAGATGCATATATCCAAGCTCACGGAGAAGGAATGAGGTGTGTGTTCCAGCTGCACTCAGTCACTGGTTGAGGGTCACTCCTAAGAAACAGCATTCGCTCCTGGGCACTTCTGGCCCGCCACAGGTGCCCCAGCTGGGCTCACTTCTGCAGCTAGAGAAAGCCACCAGTCAAAGAAGTACAGGTATTGGCAGGTGTCCAGCCCACGTGCACCAGGGACCGAACCAGCTGTGGGGGTACAGCCTGCCACCATGGCTCTGCACAGCTGCCTCCCATACTTCAGGTTTCCCTCCGAAGCAATCAGCGGTCACAAAATATATTTATTTGGAAATCATCACCAGCTGCCATTTTGTCTCAGAACCCACACACACTGCCCCCAAAAGCAAACCTAAGACATTTGGAAATCTTTTAGTGGCTTACCTTATTTTGCTTACTTCGGTCGTCCCTATGCAGCCTTCAGGGAGAACAGGTGACTAGACGGGAATTCCCAGTAGGCCAAAAACATTGCTGTGATGTGCTAACAGCCCCTAATAGGAACCATTTGGAGAGCCAACAGGCTGAGACCAACAAGGCCAACGGAAATACTGCTCTCAGGCACGGTCCTCGCAGATGACTTTCAGCTGGGTCACAGGCCATTGCTGAGACAGACGAGCCCTTTCTCTGACCTGCCACCACGACTCTAGGCTGCTGGGGGACCTGAAGGCCCTTTAGCACCTCACTGACCTATAAGCAGGCCTACCCTCCAACTTTAGAAGAAAACTGCTTCTTTGTTTTCTCCAGTTGTACACTGTGTAAAAGCCAGTTTGCGTGTGTACCTGTGTGTGTGTGTGTCCTGCTGGGGCAGCAATAAGGGTCTCCTAGCCCCTCCGGAGCTATGCAAAGCATACTCAGGAAAGCAAGACTTAGGACTGGTGGCTTCTCTCCAGGAACTCTGTGGAAGGAGAGAATGAAGGGAGACCAGGGGCTCAGGTCTCTGGGTCTCCTAGGTCATCTGTCGTGTGGTTGCCAGTTCCCTCCAAGGCACTACTGCCTCCTGGGAAACCAGAGCTCCCTTAGGCTTGATTCATCTTTATCCTCATCTGAAATGGGGAGAAAAGAGTATGTTGAGTCCTAGCCTCCTAGCCTAGCTCTGCCCAACTGTTTCATCCTGTCACCCAGCAGCAGCTACCTTCCTTCTCATCTGAGCATCACTTAGAATCTCCCAATCATGAATCCCCCCTGGAAGCATCCAGACCACCCACTCGAAGTCTAGCCACCCCCAGATCCAGGGTTTGGAGAAAGAAAAGGATACATCCTCTTTGATATAATGAGACACAGGTCACCTGTTGGGAGAAGGTCCTCTCCTAGCCCAGATCCTCAGAGCTTCTGAACCTCCCGTAAGATCCGGGATGGGTGCGGGGAGTTGTCTACGATGGCTCCCTCAGCCCCTCCAAGCGGAGCTGACCACCGTCTACACTACCCTCAAGCTCTAAGACCTTGCAGGTCGCAGATATGGACCCTCCCAGACGCTGGCCCAGGTCCCGCCAATTCTTCCCTCCTGGCTTAGAGTCTGGGGCGTCCACAGGGCGGGAACCCCCAGGGGCGTCGAGCCCGCGGTGCTGTTCTGGGGCCTTCCAGCAGAGGGCGCTGCGGGCATGCACTGCCTTCCAGGCCTGGGCCTGCAGAGACATTTGGGAGAGGAGCGCAGTGGCAGGGATGAAGGGAGGCTTCAGAAGCTATTCCTGTCCCCTGTCAACAGCCTTTTTTCCCTGCTAAAAATGGGTGATTCGTGATGGCTTAGGAAGCCCACTGAAAGGCGGTGCCGGTCACGTAGTCACCCGTGAGTCCGGGCACTGGGCTAGCTCCCCTGGAACGGGAAAGGAGCTGACTACTGGGGCCTCCCCCTGCCCTGCCCACTTCTCCTCCTAGCCACCCTATTAGCACCCCCTCCTTCTCCAGACTCGGGGAGAGCCCACCTCCTTCAGGAAGCCTTCCCAGGCCTCCTCCTGGCAGCGGCTTCTTCCGGGACACTTACTAGTGTACACACGCACGCGGGTCTGTCTCCATCGGCCTGGGAGCTCCCAACCGTATTTGCTGGTGTCTCCCAGGACAGGACTGTGCAGCCCTCATCAGTCGGGAGGCTCTTCAGGGGCACAGATCTTATCTCCTCTGTCTGACCAGGGGTTTTCCAAATAGGGCTCTGTCTCCTCCATCAGACTGTGCGCTCTCTGAGGGGACCCTTGTGCAGCTCCAACGGCACCTGCCTTAGGACTCTGTGGGCACCCAACAATCGGTCTGAAGACAGCGCTCCCCCCTGCTCCCCCGCAGGGAGATCTGAGATGCCCCCCAAATCCCACGAGCTCTGTGCCCTAGACAGGAGAAAGATGGGTTTGTATCAGAGGAAAGATTGCCACTCCGGGAAAGAACAGAAAGCGAGCAGGTGAGACTCGAGAGGGATTGAAGACACCAGACCGCCCCCCCCCCCGTTTGCTCCACACACTGGCCCTGCCTCTGCAGGTCTCCCACTCCGTGTGTGCTGTCACCCAGGATGTGGCCCTCGTCACAGCACCTCGCTGCAAGCAAGTGCAGTCCATTCAAGAACTGTGGCTGGCACCGCCTGGTGACTCCAGACCGAGTCCACAGGATGCAAGAGCCTCCATCTGGGCCACTGGGCTAGGGCTGCGCACACAGCAAAGGACCGCTGGCCAGGAAATGCACGGTCTCCTGTTCCGGAGGCTGGAGGTCCAAGATCAAGGTGTGGGCAGGGTTGGTTCCTCTGCGCACTGTAAGAGAAGGGTCTGTTCCAGGGCCCTCTCCCAGCTGCTGGGGCTTCCTTGCTTGGGCAGCAGACCCCAGTCTTCACATGGCCTTTGTGCTGGGACACGAATGTCTCCAAATTCCCCCTTTTTACAAGGACCCCAGTCCTATCAGGATCAGGGACCATCACGATGATCTCATTTTAACCTGATTTTCACTGGAAAGATCCTAACTCCAAATATGGTCACATTCTAAGTGTTAGGGGTTAAGAGTTCAACATATGGGGGCACCTGGGTGACTCAGTAGCTGAGCCTCTGCTTTTGACTTCAGTCGTGATCCCAGGTCTGGATTGAGTCCCATCGGATCCCGCAGGGAGCCGCTTCTCCCTCTGCTTGTGTCCCCTCGCTCTGGGTCTTTCATGAATAAATAATTTTTAAAAAGGTTCAACATATGATTTGGGGGAGCAGGAAGCACAACTACACCTGTAATGCTACACTCATGGGGCCGATGTTCTAGTGGAGAGAAACAGATGAGAAACACAAAAGCAAGGAGATACACATTAAGGCAAAGGTGGCAAGGCAGAAAAATGCAATATTAAGGAAAACGGAGCGTCAGGGTGGGGAGGATGCTACTCTGACAGGTGACAGAGGAGCAGGGACTGGATTCCAAGTGTCCCCTCAAACAAGCAGTTCATTTCCTTGCCACGTTTTCTCTGCCAAGTTGGATGTTTACCAAGAGCTCAGTGTGTGGCCCGCCTCCCCCAGGAAGCCTTCCCTGACCTGTACCCCCAGGGCAGACTGAACGTCTCCCACAGTTCTTTGTACTCCAGGTAATGGCTGTTACTAGCACTTGTAGGTGGCATTTCAGGGCCACGCATCTCCTCCATCAGACTATAAGCAATCTGAGAGCAGAGACCAGGCTTCTGAAGTGCCTGAAACTGCCTTGATGCTCATTAAATGTAGGCTGAAGTGCACACCTAGAAGGTGAGCCAAACCTCCTTTATCTTTTTTTTTTTTAATTTTTATTTATTTACGATAGTCACACAGAGAGAGAGCTAGAGAGAGAGGCAGAGACATAGGCAGAGGGAGAAGCAGGTTCCATGCACCGGGAGCCCGACGTGGGATTCGATCCCGGGTCTCCAGGATCGCGCCCTGGGCCAAAAGGCAGGCGCTAAACCGCTGCGCCACCCAGGGATCCCCTCCTTTCTCTTTAATAAAAAAATAATCAGGAGTTATAAGTTGGGGAGTCAGACATGATTCTAGGGTCTTTCCATTGATGCATCATCACTGGCTCCTCACAACTCTATCAAGTAGCCTTCTGGTGTTTCAGATGAGAAAACCCAAATTCAGAGACATTAATTAATCTGCTCAAGGTCGCCCAGCTAGAAACTGTGGGATCCAAACCCACCTGCACCCAACCCTAGGGCAAGGTCTCTCTTGGAGACACTGCCCCACTGGTTCACTCTCTGCATCTCCTGTGTGCCGGCTCCCACCAGGCCAGGGCACCTGGGCCACGCTGGGGTCGGGTGGGGAGCATTCCACACCAAGCTTTTCATTTCCTCCCTCTCTGCCAGGCTCAGCTCCCCAGAGGGTAGCGGAGAACCAGGAGGCTCAGGGCACAGGAGGAAAATGGGTAACAAATACTTCCCCTGGGGCCAGAGAGCTTTGCCTTTTCTCTGCTGTTTGTCCCCATCACCCCCTCTACTCCTGCCCAAGGAAAGGAAGCAGCTGGGCCCTGGCCCATGGGACAAAGGTCCCAGCTGCTCCTCCTACTGTGGATAGTCCTGGGCTGTCAGAGCCAGAAAGGTGCCCAGAAACCTCTGAATGTCCTCCCTGCCCATTCTACAGATGGAGATACTGAGGCCCAAAGAGTGATGTGGCCTGGACCAAGGTCACTCAGGTCCCCCAGGCCCACCCTTGTTGGGTCTAAAGATCCTACGTTACAGCTTACCTGTTACAGGTAAGGTCTTTGGAAAGACCCCTGTGAACACAGGTGTGTGGGTGAGGGTGCTTCCCACAAGTTAGGCACTTAGGTAGTGAAGTCAGGTCCTAGGG